AATTAAATTGAGTCGAAACCGTACTATTACATACCACAAAAATTGCACAAATGAAAACAGTAAAGTTTTATCTCTTACAAATATGTGATTTCATAGTGATTTCACTATGTGTATGGGTTACCCACTTATCTACACAATATACCAAAGTTTACATTTCAATGAAATGAAATTCATTGGTGTATGCATTCATTCTGGCAATCGGATCCTATGTTCAACTTATATCTTCAACTGTAAGTATTTCATTGATTAATATGAATAATACAGTAATTATAATCAAATACACAATGTCTATTAACTGCAAGGATAACATTGATTCCAAAGAAAATGATTAATAAATTTACTGATAAAACCATTTTTCCCTGATAAATTGAATTGGTGCCGCGGAACTAAATGCTAAACGACCAGAGAGGTGCGACAGATAACGATTAGTGGCGGTACACTCTGGCCTTTAATCGTTGTTAATTAAGAAAAAAAAACCGGCCAAGTGAGAGTCGTACACGCGGACGAAGGGTTCCGTACCATTATCTATAAAAACGGCAAAAAATCATGTCTGTTGTATGGGAGCCCCACTCAAACATTTTTTTTCCTGTTTTTTTTATATTTATTGTTATAGCGGCAATAGAATTACATTATCTGTGAAATGACAGATGGACAAACAGACAGACAGAAGGCGGAGTCTTAGAAATAGGGTCCTGTTTAACCCTTTGCTTACGGATTTTTATCGGATCCTTAGTAATAAACAATTTTCAATACACGTTAATTAGCAGGGCGGTGATTTTCAGTAAACGTGCAATGCCGCCTTTTTATAGTCACTGGTATTCGCAGTTAATTTGTCCCTTCTCTTGACCTCAATTCGTCCATGTAAAGAATTTTCGATCCCGGGGACTGTGTTTTGCTCGAATGTAGAACAACTTCGTCTTTTCAACCGATTTCAAAAAAGGAGGGAGTTCCCAATTCGACTGTATTTTTTTATGTTTGTTATCTCTGAATATTTGAGTGAACCGATATTGTTGATTCTTTTTTTTTTTTATTTGAAAGCTGGTTCTTCCCATGTGGTCCCGTATTAATTTCATTGGTATTGGATCTTGGGCCCCGGAGATACTTAGGAAACTCCTGAAAATATTATTTTAATTATAAAATGAAAACAGAGCGAGATATTTGAAGTCAGTTTTGTTTTCGTTAATAAAAATATGGACTTGTTCAAAGGTATGGTTTCCGGCATTTATGTACAACGCATAGCTGATTGCATAACAAAGCTGGTTACCAATTTAAAACGAAACTTTCTGTCCTATATCATTCTTCTCATTCTTTAACGAATAATATTAGGTTACAACAATAACATATCATTTTCGACTCGATTTGGAGATTCTCGACGCAATTGATGAGCTCTGCAAAATATCAACTCGCGGCGTAAATAGTCCCTACATTTTTCTCTAATGACATTGCGGGCACTCCCATTCTTATCGACAGCTGGCATCGGATACTTTGCGGGTGTGACTGTACCCGCAGTTCATCATACGTATAATTCTAGTGGGAGGAACAAGTTTAAATTAAAAGTTATATTTCTTGTTAACTAGTTCATTAAGAACGTTGCGGATACAACTGTACATTTTAACGTCAGCAATCGCGAAGGCAGGTATTGCGGGATAATAAAAACCACGGAAAGTAATGACAAAAAGTATTCTTGCAAAGCCGCATTGACTTTACGTCATGCCAAATACGAATTAAGACCGATACCAAGTAAAAAATATATCGTTTCGCTTGTAAAAACAATTAGTATTTGTATATGTAACGTATTTGTATATAAATATGTGTAAATGTTGTTCTTCTAAAACTGCATTTAACGACTTTAACGTCTTTAATTTAGTACAACAGTAACAAAAGCCGGCCAAGTGCGAGTCGTACTCGCGCACCAGGGCTTTTCTTGAGAATTTATCCTTAAAAATGAATAAATAACTTTCTCGATTCTTGATCATGATAATAAAAACCACAACTATCGTTACAAATATTCAGCGTAAATCTTACTCGTAGGTGTTTCATGATGTAAAGTATGCATACCACATAAAAATATCGAGTATGCATTTACCACAATATAAATATTTATATTAAATATTTTTACTGGGATAGTGTCCCGCAACAGTCTTCGCTGTTGCACGAATGGGCAGATCAGTCCAGGTAAGTACCACGAAACTCACAACATAACCTACTTTTTTATTTTAGTATGGTCCTTTATCCACTAACAAGAGAATATCGTAAGATGCGATAGTTAACATTAATTTATGAATTTATTAAAATCCTGGCTATGCATTTATAAAGCTGACAGAACGGGAAATAGTTCTAATATATTATTCAAAATGGCTGGCGACATTTTCGAGCATCATTTAAAACGAATTACAGTGTAACTAAGTAAAATGAATGTATTAGTCCGTTGGCTGGGCTTAATTGCTTCCTCTAAACTCGTTAACCTCTACGACACGCCAAGTCAAGACCCGTATTGGCGTTAACCATAATCGACATTGGACAAATTTAACGCTCAAACGTCACAGAGAAGCATTCAAAGAAATTGCTATACCGGTTTCTTGAAATCACATTGAAAAAAAAGAATTTAAATTAATGTAATACGCAGTATTGCGGTGTATGTTATGGTAATTATTTAGTAACACACCGTGAATGCTGAAACGAAAAAAAGAATACAAGTACACAATAAAACGGAAGTTCATGGTTTTGACCGCTTATTTGGTCTCAATCGCGACAGGTCGTAACAGGCTTATCGCGTGCCAGATACATTTATTTAAAAAAAACATTCATTATTGCCCCTTTTATCTGAACCTGCTCACGTGCTAATCTTATTACAAATTCAATATCCCCGGTACATAACATGAGGATGAATATAAATAAAAATCGTCCGGGCTGACATTGGGACGTAAAACGACTTGGTCCGCCTGGATACCATAAACACTTTACATTTTTAGAAATATCGGGAGCTTAAAATGATATGAAACTATAAAATCCGAGAAATAAATTTATATTTCGGAACATAACGTGATTTTAAGGTTGTGGATACGAAATATTTCTCAAGAGCAAAACAAAAGTATAAGATTAGTGCTCGGCTATCAACGACAAGCCATTGGAAAGTCATAGATGAAATAAACATTTACATTAAAAAATCTTTAGTGACAACTGTACAGACCAACACTGGCCTAACGCTACAGTGTTTTTAAAGTCTGCCTTTCTTAGTATATCTTAGGCATTTTGTTTATTGGAAATAACCGTAGTTGGAATATCAACGAATACATCTTTTATGACGTTATCAATTGGGATAAAAGTGTAATTAATAATATCTAACTATTTATGTTTTGTGCACGATCTTTGGTTACATTATTTACATTATTACATTATGAATATTTTATACACTTAATCTGTACCATGACCATGGATCAAATGTAAGACGAACGAGAAAAATAAATTATAAAATATATAAGTAGTATTTACATCGTAAGATGTTATATCATAAGTAAGATATATCGGTAAGAAAACATATTTTCTCTTTTTGATGTCGTCTTACTTATTAAAAATAGTGTTCTTTATACACCCGTGTCGTTACAACGCGACAATAAATGAACGTCTAACGTTACTTGTCAATAATCATAAAAAATTTAAACGTTAAAAAAATCCATAGTTAAAAAAATATATTTTTCATACAAACTAATTAAATAAAAAAGAAAAAAAATCGTAACATCCCATACAACTAAGACTGACTATTCATAATACATTCTGTAGTAATCCAAGGTGTAATAAATGAAACGCACTCGACGATGTGTGTGACAAGACTGGTTTTATTGCCATATGCCAAATGCTGTACTTATATATATAACTTACACCTACAACATCTCTCTCCTCAAAAACATTAAAAATAAACCTATTTATACATTTCCTACAAACAGTAAAGACTTACAATATATAAAAGGAACTATGTATTTTCCTTTTGATATACAAACTAAATACCTTTTAATATAAAATATTTTTTTTTTTTTTACTTTTATTTAAATTGGTTACAATACAAGATAAGTTTAAATATTTGAGTAAATGGGTATTAAGTAATTTTAATTATACCCAAACCTATCTGGTTTGCGTACAACACGACCACTTCTAGTGATTATCGGTTCATTATCAGCCGACGGTGCTGGTGATTGTTGTCCCCTTGACTGGTAATAACACCTGTGACAAGATGTGATCGGTGGCGGTGAGGTGTCCTGATCATTATCAAATATGAAGTCGTAGTCACAATTTTTTGTTTTTGTTGGCCTATTATTATTAGGTAATTTCATTATATGCGACCTATTCCTACTTACTTAAAGAGGAACTTATGTTCCTCTTTAAGTTTTGGTCTCAATTTAATTGGGATCTTTCTAGAAGCATTCACCACTGGCATAACGCTTTCATCTACATTTATTTTGCATGTTGTTGGTAAACAGCCTAATCCGCTAAAAAGTTACTCTTCCGTTTTATAATTAATTACTTCATTTAAGCGCGCTAATAATTTTAATTTCTTACATGCTTCGAGCCCTAACAAATTGCTGCAAGTTATATTTAAAACATATATTTTCTGTTTTACTTTTACACCTTTATAAGTCAAAGTTGGTTCAAAAAATTCTACCACAGGCAACTTTGACTTACTTATTTCTCTTAAAACTACTTTATTGCTTATCAAGATGTCTGTGTTAAAACCTGCACCTTTGAAAGCCCCCACGCACAGTCTCATACCATGACTCATTATCACCGTCTACCGAGTCAATAGATAAATTATATAAAAAGTAACTCACTTTCTTCATCGTGGTTGACTTCACTAACAATTTTCGCTTTGCACAATTTAGCGAAATGACCTACTCGATCACACCTAAAGCACTTCAAATTACGTGCCGAACATTGATTATCATTTCCATGTCTGTGGCCGCACTTATCACACGCATAAGCACTTCCATCACCGTAATCCAACTTGTATGCTCGCTGCGGTCGTGGTTGATATCGCTGCGGCAGGCGGCGCGCGGTGTATCGACCGCGGCCTCGCGCACCCGCTACTAACTCATCCAGCGCCGGATCGGCGGACGTCGGCGCCGGCGCAGCCTGATCGGCGCCCGCACCTCTCCGCCTGCTTGCCTGCCCTCTCGATCGCACGACACCACGAAACGGCACTTTCCAAACTGAGAGTTTCTTTCGCCAGGAGCCTTTCACGCATCGTCGAGTCTTTAATTCCTCTTATAATTTGAGTGAGAATTAAGCTATCACGTAGATTTCCAAACTCGCACGTCTTGCTTTTGATTTTTAACTCACTTAGAAATTTATCGAACATTTCTTCGTGTTGATATGTTTCAAAAAATATGTGTCGTTCGTAGTTGACATTTCGAATTGGATCGCAACGTTCTTTAAATTTTGTCACTAACTTTTCGTAATCTACCTTCAAAATCTCACTCAAATCTAGTTCTTCAAAAAATTTCACGTCCATATCTCCCAATAACATGAAGAAATAATGCACATTTCTCCTTAGCGGGAGCGGTGTCCTTTCCCAACGCACTAAGATAATAATCGAACGATGATTTCCATTCTCGCCAATTGAGCGCGATGTTGCCGTCCTCGCGCATGGCCGCCGGTTGTTGGATCGCTGAGCAAATAGACGCTGCCGCAGTACTTTTTTTGGTATTTCTCCTTCGTTTCCCATTATTGCTTATTACCAACTCTGTATTATATAACACTTAACGTGAAATGGCCACACCTGACACCATGTGGTAATAAATGAAACGCACTCGACGATGTGTGTGACAAGACTGGTTTTATTGCCATATACCAAATGCTGTACTTATATAACTTACACCTACAACACATTCAGAGACTTTTTCATACGTTGCCACAATTCGCATTACAAATCTCTCCTTCTGAGAGCATGTTTTATCTCTTTTAAATTCATTCAGTCCATTTATATGCTTTGTGACCTATACAAATGAACTTTACGTTACAGTTTTATAGGTAAGGCTGTTCTAAAAATGTTTATTTTTGTAAAATTTAATAACTGTAAATATCGATGTTTAAAGAATATAAATGCTTATTACAATTTTAAAAAGTTACCCTCTATATGTATGTTCATTTATTGTCGCGGTTGTAACGACACACTGTATAACTATACACGCTTTGCATCTCATAATATGTTGGTAAGACCGCACAGCGTCGTTACTAATAAACGTCTATACGTCTCTTCGATTGGATTTTGCGGTTGAGCGTCGCGCATGTGAGCGTCGTGGCCCGCAGCCGTATGTCGAACACAGACAGATGCACCTCTTCTGCGGTTCGCAGCGGAAGCAAATTTAACGTTAATTATTCAATTTTTGCCGGTAAGGCTACATAAAGAATTCTCTGCGCTTTTGATCATACACCTGAAAACGTTTTCATTTAGACGGTTTTCGATTAAATTTTATGCTTCTTTTCAATGTCCCGATACTGTGATTTGTAAAATAATCCTGTGTTTTTCGTAAGCAGCAGGTAATCTGTAATTTAACTAACGCTAAAAGTAAAATGCCCTTAAGGCACAAATTATTATTATATAAGACCTACGTACGACCTATTATGTCTTACGCATGCATGACCTTCGCCCACACGCACCCTACTCGCTTGTACAAGCTGCAAATAGTACAAAATAAGTTCATCCGCCGCGCAACCGGTGCGCAGGTACCAACGCAACGTCGACCTGCACAGCGATTGCAGACTCCCGACGATTCGCGAATATTTTAAAGACCTGACCAAACGGTTCTTCGATAGAGCCGAACATCACCCCAACCCTCTGGTGGTAAGCGCAGCAAATTACCAACCCGACACAAACCCGAACGTCAACAAACGTCGCCTGCGAAATATCCTAATCGACCCGGTCGAGGAAGGGGACTTAGACACGCAGGACCCACCGCCGGGGGTCCCGCCGGACAACACTGCACCCACAGATAGTGCAACAACAAACACGCTAGTTCGCCCTCGCCTCCGAGCACGGCGAGACGAACACAACGCGTACACAAGGTACACCCGCGTTCCGGGGCGGTTCTCACCGCCCCCAGCCACCGATTAGATAATTGCACAGTCGACGGCCATCGGGGTTCCGGTCCGAACCACGACCTCGATGGCCCTTAGATGACACACCATAGTTAAACGCACGCATGAGCACATGCGTGGCCCTATCCACAGCGGAGGGCCCAAACCCGTGGGTTCTGGCTAGCCCACCGGTTCTGTGAAGCTTTAATAGTCTCGGGACTGAAAGCAAAAACATAAACGCGTTGCCGGCAATAAAAAACTGGCAAAGTGCGCATCGTTTTTTATTATTCATTCATTTTATTTTTTTATTCCGTTTTTAGTATTTGTTGTTATAGTGGCAACAGAAAGAAATCATCAGTGAAAATGCCAATTGTGTGCCTACTATCATGGTTCATGAAACACAGCCTGGTGACATACGGACAGACCGACAGACCCATCTAGTAATAGGGTTTACCTTTTGGGTACAGAACCCGAAAAGTGGGCCCAAGCCCAGGTGCCTCACTCACCAGACGAAACTTGAAAGAACAATACATCCAATTCTTTCGTGAGACCGTTATACTTCCCCGAACGAATCTGTCCATTCGCGTACCATAGATAATGTCACATTATATAAAAATTTAAAGTTAAAAAGTGCAAAAAAAGCGACAGAAGCGACGAAATAAAAAATCGAACTGGTTTATTAAAGGTCCGTTTCGTTTTACAGTGCCAGAACAAGCTAAATCTTATTATATATTAACACCCTGACTCGGTACAATCAATCACAAATCTGACATTCTAACAAGACCTATAATATATTAATACCAAAATCAATATCGATACAAAATGACTTTAAATGTTTTATTAGCACATCTTCAACTACTATATTTTGGTTGAGGATTCTATTTTCAGAAAAATAGTTAAACAGCAGGTAAAGTACAGGTACAGTAGTACATAAGTACAGTACATGGTAAATAAAAAAGTGATGTTTAGTAAATTAAAATATATAGTACATAAATAGTAATTCATACAGTAAATATGTTAATGTTATTGGAAGCGAATACGCCGGGCCTGAAGTAAGAGGATTCACGTAATGCCGACGACGATTATAACACTTAATTTGATCCTTAATTAAAATTTGCTCGTCACTAATACACAGTATAATATACATTTATTTGCAAATTCATTTCAACCTTCTTCGTTCTGCTTTAATTCTAAATTGTTATTTTCACTTTCGAATGCAAACATTGGTGATTCATTGAGTGACCCTAATGTAAAGCAAAGTAACAGAAGAATTCATATGTCTTCGAAATATTTTTATGACCTTGAATTAGTTGAAACCGATCGGTCCAGTGTGAATAGCGAGAACAGTTTCCAACTCGAAATCGTACAATTCCAAAGGTTTACATTATAGGCACAACTTCTTACAACTGCTTGTTATTATACTGTACTCTCAGTCAGGTGCAGGTGAGGTTAGCAATGGGCGCACAAATTTCTTTTAGAAACCTTCATTTAGCAAAATTTTAAACTTCGCAGTGAGTAGAAAATCGCCGTATTCGAATGAGAACTCCTTGTTGATCTATACTCAGGTATTAAAGTAATATCAATCGAGACATTATATCCATCCATTGCTTTATTTATTCGCTCATTTCATATGTTTTGAACAAGAATAAATGCGTATGCTGTGGGAAGCAAATAGTCTCCAAGTGGGGCGTGAGCGGTATCACGTATTGCTGAAACGACCACAGAACGTGACTGTGCGCCAAATGAACTCTTTTCATCACCTCTGTGGTATAAGTGAGAAATATCTACTACAAAGTTAATTTTCGCCTGGATTTTCGTACGGAGTGTATTCGTCTCCTCTATAGTGTTGACAACCTATAAAAGATTGGGTACGACCTATTATATCCTATGCATGCATGACCTTCACCCACACGCACCCTACTCGCTTGAAAAACTTGCAAATTTTTCAAAATAAGTTCATCCGCCGCGCAACCGGTGCGCAGTGGTATCAACACAACGTCAACCTGCACAGTGACTTTAACGCGAACGTCAACAAGCGTCGCCCGCGCAACGTTCTCATCGACATTTTTTTTTTTTTTTTTGGCTGGATGAGCCACTGTTTGCCTTAGGGGCCTTTACAGATCCGACGGACTTAAGGGGGCCGGGCGCTTGAGGCGCCTAGCCTGAACCTCGCGTATTTATTATTACGCGTTATGGTGACTAAGCTCGAGGCTCCCGAAGGAACCTCGGCTCGGGCCGTCACGCTATTAGTTTCACCGGTTTGGGAGGCCGCCAAGCTCTTAGGGCGCTTTGGCGGACGCTCCATGGAGTGATCAGGCTCAAGGGTCCCCGAGAGGGGACCTCGTCTTGGGCTGTCACTCAGCACGCGTTTAGCATTCCGATTCGAGGGTGCCCGAGAGGGCCCGACCTCGGCTCGATCGGTAGCTGTTAACTGACTGGGGGGATCTCTAGAGATATCGTTACTACCACTTCGTAAAGCGTTGGCGCTGGGAGAAGAAGTGGCGGAAGAAACTCCAGCAACGCTTCTATCGTTAATAGGGGAGAACCTGCCAGGTACGTGGCGGAACCTAGTATATGGCGCACGAGTGCTAGTATGGTGTGTTTGCCTATTGATTAACGGGAGGGGTCGCGCGGCGGCGGAATCAAAGTATCGGCGGCGTAGGAGGCGACTCCCGACTTCAGGAATTGAGCGATGGTGGGCAACTCTAAATCGACATGTAAGTCAATATTGCGCATGAACCAGGGTGCTCCCGTGGCTCTGCGCATAAACCGATTTTGGATGACCTGAAGACGGTGTATTTGTTTCGGGGCGATATGTGCTAATACCGGACTCGCGTATGTCATAATAGGGCGAACTACTGCCTTATATAAGGTCACCTTGTTCCGAAGGGACATTTTTGAATTTTTGTTGAGGAGCGGATGGAGGCGGCGCTTTTAGCGGGATTGATCTCGATCCTCCAATGCCGAAACCAGTCACCGATGGTGATGGCTGCGGTTTGAAGGCGTCGATGGATCGTTTCGGGTGTTCTGCCTGTAGTATAGAGACAGGTGTCGTCAGCAAAGAGGGAAAATTCTGCATCTTTGACACGCGGTATGTCATTGGTGTAGATCGTAAATAGGACTGGGCCCAACACTGACCCTTGGGGCACCCCGGCTCGAACGGGATGCGTTGACGAATGCACGCCATCGACGCGAT